ATGATCCTGGTGGGTCTCTTCCAACTCACAATATCCTATGAGAGTCTCTGAGAGGACACGTAATCCCCTCAGCTCCTTAACTGGACTCAGCTACAAGTCCAGCAAAGTTACCAGTTTTCCTTTACCCATGTAACATACCAGATCTTTTTTGTTTCAAAATGACAACAGATAATTCAAGCACGAACCAACTACCCAGAATCTGATGTATGAAACAAATATTCCCCCAGATCCACTTACACTGTCATCATCAGCATCGATATTGAAGTTTATCTCTGCAATCCTGTCAAAGGGAGCACTGCAAAAAAAAAAGGGAAAGAAATTTCAGCCGTGGCACCGAGGAACAAAGGGCTTCTGCAGCCCCAGCACACGAGCAGAGGACAGGTAACCACAGACACTCCACATGACCACTCAACACCTTCTGCCTTCCCTGAATATTCATAGAATCATAGACTGGTTTGGGTTGGAAGGGACCTTAAAGCTCATCCAGTTCCAACCCCCCTGCCATCAGCAGGGACACCTTCCACTAGACCAGGTTGCTCAAAGCCTCATCCAACCTGGCCTTCAACACTTCCAGGGACGGGGCATCCACAACTTCCTTGGGCAACCTGTTCCAGTGTCTGACCACCCTCACAGTGAAGAACTTCTTCCTAATATCTCATCTAAACCTCCCCTCTTTCAGCTTAAACCCATTTCCCCTTGTTTTGTCATTAACTGCCCTTATGAAAAGTCCCTCCCCAGCCTTCCTGGAGCCCCTTCAGGTACTGGGAGGCCGCTGTAAGATCTCCCTGGAGCCTTCTCTTCTCCAGGCTGAACAGCCCCAACTCTCTCAGCCTGTCTTAAGTAATTACAGTAACTTCAGGGAATCTTAGTGTAGCAGTGGTTCAAGAGCCCTGATGCATTACTAAGACACATTTGCAGCAAAAATAATTCAATAATCCAATAAATTTTTGATTGAGACCTAAGAGTCTCTATTGTAAGAACAGCAGAGGGTGCTACAGGTCCAAAAACACCAACCTACCAGCACAGTTGGGGTCTACGTGGTATTTTTTCACCCTGTCTACGTATCTCTCAGTTTTGACAATGTTATTTTCTCTTGAAGACCACTGTCCAATTAGTAAAAAGTACTGTCATGTAAATCAGCAGGCCATTGGGACATGCTTAACACTTCTTCTAATATTCAAATTCATATCTGCAACAATTTTCAACAGCTGGAAAACAGATGACAGGGAGCAGCATTCTCAGAATATTCAAAACTAGAACAATTTTATGGTATATTCTTCTTTTCCAATGACAAATACAGAGAAGGCTAGCACATCCCAGTTACAGAGTTTGTTCAGTTTCATGTTCATTTTCAACATGGGCATTAGCCACCTTCAGTAGCTCCTCACATAAATTACTTCTTCCCCTCCACCTACACACTCAGAAGTTTGGGATTTGCTGCTATTTGATATGAATTAAAAGTGTATTTTATTTTTTTTTAAATATGTAGAACTAAGTAATCCATGATCACTTGAACTCTCTTTCTAGCCTGGAACTTTTTGGCCTTATTAAAGTTATGGACATCTACAATGCTCAGAAAAAACAATATGGGAAAGCTGGACTCAAAAATCTTTCTCCATGTTAGAATAAAGTTCCCATCTATTTGGCAAAGATCTTAAGAGGGTTCCTAAGACCTTAAGGATCTTAAGACTCTACTTTGATTCATGCTTGAAAGCAACTCTGAAGCAGCCAAACTATTTCCACACTGTCTCTGCATTTAAGGTACTTCATGGAGCCCACCAGTTGCTAAAAATATGGTCTGAGCAGAACCAGCAAAAGAATCCTCCATAAATCAGACCTGGAGCAGCCAAAGAGTTGGAGAGATGTGGCATGTCCAGAGCTTTCTGGGTTAAAAGCTTCCAGTTTCTGTCAGGATTCCAGGACACCAGGATCCTGCAGTTCTTTGCAGAGCAGACCCAACGCCAGCCCTAGGACAGTCAGTACAGCAGGTTCTGCCACGTACTGTCCTTGTCACCATGGGTGACAAATAATTCTTTTGATTGACAAATAATTAGAAACATAGAATCCCAGACTGGGTTGGGTGGGAAGGGACCTTAAAGCTCATCCAGTCCCACCCCCCCTGCCATCAACAGGGACACCTTCCACTAGACCAGGTTGCTCAAAGCCTCATCCAACCTGGCCTTCAACACTTCCAGGGAGGAGCAGCCACAGCTTCTCTGGACAACCTGGGACACTGGCTCACCACCCTCACAGTGAAGAACTTCTTCCTAATATCTCATCTAAACCTCCCCTCTTTCAGCTTAAACCCATTTCCCCTTGTTTTGTCATTAACTGCCCTTATGAAAAGTCCTTCCCCAGCTTTCTTGTAGCCCCTTCAGGTACTGGGAGGCTGCTGTAAGATCTCCCCGGAGCCTTCTCTTCTCCAGGCTGAACAGCCCCAACTCTCTCAGCCTGTCCTCACAGCAGAGCTGCTCCAGCCCTCGGATCATCCTCATGGCCTCCTCTGGACTCGTTCTAACTGGTCCAATTCTTTTAATTGAGATGAACAATGTCACAAGATGAAAGTAGATGGGCAAATGGAGGAGCAGGAACCCAGTGGGTATCCTCCTGGAGCACTTTTCTGTCCATAAATGTATACTAAATGGTTACAATTTCTGAACAAGTGGGATAATTACAGTCTCAGTCATTCCCTTAGCTACAGTGTTTAAGGTGAGAAGATGAGCTGCAGTTTTAATTAGATTACAGCAGTTCTTCTCTAAAAGCAGCACCACTTCTGAACGCTGAATTCAGCAAGTTGCGTAACATTAAATCCACCTCTATCTGCCTGCTTTGAACTGTGATTTGCTCCTGCCTTATCTATGTTTCCTTATTCCTGAGAGAGAAAAGGGCTACATTTTTCTGTGGACTTCATCAGAACACTATTCTTTCTACTCCTAATTTCAATAAGGACTTAATGCCACTGGAGAATATCTGTATAATTGCCTCGAGTTAGCTCTAATGCTTTCCTTGCAGTGCAATTAAATTTATTCGAGAATATGGCTGGATAATAGCTTCATGTTGTATTTAAAATGTTTCTCTTTAAAATTAAGAAGTATTTTTTCTTTTGGAGATCATGGGTGGACTCCTATAAAAAGAAAAAAAGGTCAGCTGTTTTCCAAGCCATCGATCCGTTTTCTGCTTGTTTCAAACCAAAGGAGGTACACAGTGAGGTTCATTTTAAAACCTGAACCAGGAGAAGAAAGATGAGATGCAAAGAGGCTTAAATGCTCAATATAAGCCTCTTGAAGCTTTATATATAAACTTACTTGATATTATCATCCTGGTCTGCAAATTCCTCATCGTTAAAGCCAAACTGATCCACAAAGTTAGCTGTCATCTGCTGGATCTGGTACTCGGAGAAGGCCTGAGCAACAGAACCCAAAAAGAGCTTTTGTTAAGGTGTCCAAAGATACCCAATTAAAGTGCCTGAAAACATATATTCTATAAAGCATCTAAATCATAGAAAAATAAGGGACTTTGAGAAATCATCTACTCCAACCCCCTTCTCAAAGCAGGATCTCAACTGTTGTCAGACTTCTGCAAGTCCTGGACAGGTGCTTCTCTGATCTTATCTTCCCCAAAAAGTTATGAAATTTTCCTAGGAAACCACTTCTTGGCCTCATTATTCTTATTCATTAGAATCATTTTATTGTTGTTGTTTTTCTTTCTTTTTTTTTTTTCATTTGGTTGATTTCCCCTGATGCAATATGAAATTTACCTTGCTGCAATTTAAACCCACCATGGTTCACCAAGAAGGCACTTTTCACTTCCTCTAAATCCCTCCTCCTCATAGGACGTTTTTTACTGCTGCTGTTTACTTCTCTTTACTGCTAACATTTTAGTATGGCTCTTTCAGTTTTAAATAGACATCTGCACAGGCCAAGAGGAGGCAGAACCCCTCTATCAGCTCCAATTCTACTGCAGGTAGGTGATTCACACTACATCACCTACCAGCAACTCACTGCAAGCTGGTCTACAACATCAGAACCACCCAAGTGTGGGGAAAACCAGGAAAAGAGAAAAAAATACACAGTGTCTCACAGGAATGTGAGACACGTCAGGTATCTGGGACTTGCCTGCAGCCTGAGCCAAATTTATTCCCAATTATAGTGTATAGACAATGTAAGTAACTATACTGGAAAAACACAGAAGAGCTGAACACACTGACTAAGAATAAAATTTAGGAAGTTTCTCTATACTAGGATGGATTAAGGACAAAGCAGAGAAGGAGGCTTCCCAGGAATAGTGAAGAACACACTGTCAACTCACCTGTTGGAGAGAAAGTTCATTGGGAAAAGCACTCTCAATGTCTTCATCCTCACTGGAAGAGTGCAGATGGTGAGTGCTCACCTGTAAAAAGTACCAAAAAAATCAGCACAAGTGAAAGCTAAAAAAGCTCAAATAATTTTGTTCCACACATACAATCAAAGCCCAAACTCCTCAGAAGACAGAAACTGTCCCAATGAATAACAGAGGAACAGGGACTAGAGTTTACCAATATGTATCAGAGCTGCTGCTGCTTGATGAACTATTATGGAACAGGTTTTCTACAAACACTCTGCCTTCGTAAGCCTACTTCATAAAAACAAGCAAAAGAAGAAAAAAAACCCCAGCAATATGTCTTTTTTTGTAGTTAAGGAAAGTCCAGAAGAAAGCAAGTCTATCTGAAACAAGCACAGTGTCACTGTCCTCACCAAATCCACTGTGTTCCTCCTGTTTGTTTCCGTCAGCGTCTCTTCTACAAAACTCTCCCATCTCCCTCTGCAGTCTTCAGGTAGTTCTGTAATAAAAAGGTCACCATAAAGATTCCCACAACTCATGAGAAGGATCAAAGCAGTCACTTAGCCCCACTGGTTACCTGGAAGGTTTTGAGCAGACACATACACGTGCCCATGAGCAAAATAACACACATGTTATGTGAAGAACTCTTTATAAGGGCAGTTAATGACAGAACAAGGAGAAATGGGTTTAAGCTGAAAGAGGGGAGGTTTAGATGAGATATTAGGAAGAAGTTCTTCACTGTGAGGGTGGTGAGACAGTGTCCCAGGTCGCCCAGAGAAGCTGTGGCTGCTCCTCCCTGGAAGTGTTCTTGGCCAGGTTGGATGAGGCTTTGAGCAACCTGGTCTAGTGGAAGGTGTCCCTGCTGCTGGCAGGGGGGTTGGAATTGGATGAGCTTTAAGGTCCTTTCCAACCCAAACCAGTCTGGGATTCTGTGATTCTATAAGTGTTCTGCAAACCAAATTACATTTTAGTTGGGATTTTCTAAAAATAGTCAATTCTGCAGGGAAAGGAACATCCTTCATGAGGCCAACCAGTAAGATATTACAGGTCTTAGCAATCTTAAATTGCTTGTGGAATTACAGTGGGTTAAAGACACCAAACTTTTACTACAACTTTTTGAAAACCAGCACACACATCACTTCAGTTTTACTTTTTCCCTCCTTTTCTTACATGGCGATTGTGGTGGGTTGACCTCAACCAGCAACTAAGCACCCACCCAGCTGCTCGCTCGCTCCACCCCCCACAGCAGGATGGGGGAGAGAACTGAAAGACCAAAAGTGAGAAAAACTGATGGGCTGAGATAAAGAAAGTTTAATGAGTGGAGAAAAGAGGAAAAAAACCTCAAACCAAGCGATGCAAAGGCACTCCCTCACCACCTCCCATCAGCAGACAGATGCTCTGCCAGTCTTTGAGCAGGAGGTACCTCGGAAGGGTTGTCCCCCCAGTTTCTACAGCCGAGTACACGGCAGGGAACAGCTCTCAGTCACTCCAGGTCAGTTGTCTAGCTGTGTCCCCTCTTGTCCACACCCCAACTGTCCCCCAGGGTGGGGACAGAGCAGGTAAAAGAGCAAGCCACAGCGCTGTGCAAGCTAAAACAGCGGGGTGCTACCAACACCCTTTTAGTCACAAATCCAAACCACCACGTGGCTGCTATGAATGAAGTTCTCCTCATCCCAGCAGGAGCCACCACCACAAAACGATGGAGAGAAATGACCACGACTTGTGACACTTACAGTCTTTACTACAATATTGATGACTTCTCAATTTTAATTTAGATATGACAACACACCGAGTTATCGATTTGCCATTTGGTAGGTTCATTAGATGCCCAAAATGAAAATTCAAGTCATATTTGGGGTCACAGAATCACAGAATGTCAGGGATTG